TTTTTTTTTTTTTTTTTTTTTTTTTTTTTTTTTTTTTTTTTTTCCTAACATAATATTTTCAACAAGTAAAAAAATTATTTTTTATTTAACAATGCTACTGTTAATAAAAAAATTTGAAACGATGCTTTAGTCATAAGTCCGACATGAAACCTCAATGACGATTAACAATATTAAGTATACCTTTTTGAAAAACTGCTTTGAAAAGTTTAGGCAAGCAGAAGACTTGAAAAAGAGTGACACATGAATTACAGGATTCGATCGCGTGCGGTCAAGTAAGTAGTGTTTCATAGAAAAAAAATAAATAAATAAATGAATAGGTACATTTCATTTCGAATATAGTAAAAGTTCAGACAGTTATTGTTCATATCCCTAGGTGAGTATAGTACTTACCATTGGTACAATACGCGTGTGTGAGTATTTTTATATTTTATAATTGAGGTTAAATGTACACCCACCTTTAACATAATGGAAGAGTTCGTCGTCGATCGTCGGATACAAACTTTTAATGTAACTGCCACAATCTGCCATATCACAAATCACGATAAATTGTCCAACTGTTAAATTGATCTTAAATATGAATGAAAATAATCCTTCTGTACTCGTCAAAACCACCTTCTATACATTTTACAGAACCTCCACCGCATACCCATAACTCCTTGCACACCATACGAATTAACCTTTCATCGTGAGATACAAGTATCACACCAGCCTGAAAAATTGAGAATTATTAATGTGAAAAACTTTTTTAAATTATATTTTCACAAATTCTATAAACATGCTTACTTGGCAGCTGTTGATAGCTTTCCCTAGAGCCTCTATTGACTCAATATCTAAATGGTTGGTTGGTTCATCTAGAACTAGGAAATTCGGCATGGCAGCACACATTAGTGCAAAGGCAACTCTTGACTTTTGCCCTCCTGATAACGAGTGTATTGTTTGAAGAGCTAAATCTCCAGTGATTCCAAAGCTACCCAACATTCTTCGATATTCCTCAATAGGTTTACCTAAATACAAAAATTATAAAACAATAATTAATGTTTTATAAAATATGGTAAGATGTGACGTATACTTGTCCCCACTCCTTACCTGGAAAGTGATTTTGGAGAAGTTCAACAGGACAAACCCTAAGGTCAAGTTGATCCACGTGATGTTGGCTAAAGTATCCAAACTTTAGACTGCGATGTGTGTGTACAGTGCCGTTAATGGGACTTAGTGTGCCGGTGATTATTTTTAATAACGTCGTTTTACCAGCTCCATTTTCTCCGACTATACAAATACGCGACTGCAGATCGGCACTTAAACTTACATTCGTAAATATAAAATCCTTGCTGTTGGGGTAACGGAATGCGGCTTCGTTGATTTGGAGTATGGGAGGATTCAGAGGATCAACGTCGGGGAAACGTAGTGTAACTTCACTCTCCTTATCTACTGCCTTGAGTTCTGGTCTAGAAGTAAAATATTTCATTGAATATAACGACAAAATGTTTTTCAATCATAATAAACGCGTACTCACAACTTGTCGAGCATTTTTATTTTGCTCTGAACACTTGAAGCGCGATTTGCATTATAACGGAAACGATCAATGAATTCTTGAACGTGAGCTCGTTTAGCCTGTTGCGCTTCAAACTCTCGTTGCTGATTCTTTTCACGCTCGTCTTTCGTCTTTTCAAATTGTTCATAATTCCCATGATATGACTCAATTTTCTGTCCTTTTAGATAAAGTATATCAGTAGGCACCTAATAAACATACATTTTTGAAAAGTGTTATCCAAGTGACTAATGTTATAGAGTTTTTATTTATAGGTAATTCATGAAACACTTACAGTGTCAAGGAAATTACGGTCATGAGAGACCACGAGAAGAGTAGTGGGCCAAGATTGCAAATAACGTTCGAGCCACATGATGGCCTTGATATCCAGCATGTTTGTGGGTTCATCAAGTAGTAAAAGATCTGGTTTGGAAAACAAAGCCCGTGCTAAGGCAAGCCTCATGCGCCATCCACCCGAAAAAGATTTAGTTGGCCAACTTTGGCGCTCTACAGAAAAACCAAGACCAGATAGTATTGTGCTTGCTCGTGCAGGAGCTTTTTCTACCTCTGCAAGTTGTATCGCCTCGAAAACTTTTGCTATAAACGTATTTAATTAATAATTTGAATCGAGAGATTTTTTTTTTGGGTAAATGAAGTAATTAGTATAATAATTTTACCTAATTCTTCACCTAGAGCGTCATTGCTTTTTCCTTCCTTCTCGATCGCTGCTTGCAGTTCTGCTTCGCGTTTTAAAAGTGCACAGCGCTCTTCGTCTGATTGCAGCACCGACTCGAGAGCGGATGTGTCGTCACCAGCCACTTCTTGTTCCACATGTAGAACTCGTATGTGTGAAGGTATTTGTAACTGTTTACTGATATTCACATAAAAACTCTGAGTCAACGGTGTTGCATAAAAGTTGTTGTAAAAATAACAAATTATCGTAAAATTTTGTTTGCGATTGGTTATTGGCGTTTACCTAGATATCATTCTCAGTAATGTTGTTTTACCAAGTCCATTGCGTCCAACAAATCCATACCGTCTGCCAAAGGCTAACGTCAAATCGGCTCCTTGCAACAGTACTCGGTCTCCATATGCTACATCGAAATTTTCTATCCTAACATCATTTGTCCTATTTGTTCCGCCTTTACCTTCTAACTTATTGTCCTTTTTACTTATCACCTGACTGACCGTGGCAGTTTCAAGTGCAGGTAAAGCACCATTTTTATTAGCCCCAGTTTCACAATTACGATTCTCCTGTTTCTGTCTTAATTTGGCTTCTGCTTTTTCTAATTTTTTGGCATCCACTTTCTGGAATATTAAAAATTTTTTGCAATAAAATATTAAGCATGTAATACATCTGCTGAGTAAAATGAACATCCTACTGAAGAATCATCTCTAGTTGTGACCCAAATACTTCTCATTTCATCAACCTCCTCCTCCAAAGTTGCAGTCATCGAGCCCATGTGAATAGGTGTGCTTAATACTTTGTTTACAACATTGTTTCTCCTTGCCATGCCATTGGAACCACTTTTCAACATATTTAGCAGATCCGTGCATATTTGTCTGCGGCAAAAAAAAAAATTTCAGCACTCCATATGATGTATAGCATACTTGCAGACCCATATTCTTAATGACGAATGTAAATTTACTTACTTAACCTCGTTTTGGGACTTGTATTCTACCTCATGTAAAACCTGTCCAATTGCTTCATAAACTTCATCTGCGTCCTCGAAGTCGTCTTTAGAACTATCTAATATACCTGAAGTCAGAGTGCATAAAATTAGAGTTAAAGTTTGCAAAGCTTGATTTCTCTTGTTTTTTTTTTTTTTTTTTTTTTCCTAACATAATATTTTCAACAAGTAAAAAAATTATTTTTTATTTAACAATGCTACTGTTAATAAAAAAATTTGAAACGATGCTTTAGTCATAAGTCCGACATGAAACCTCAATGACGATTAACAATATTAAGTATACCTTTTTGAAAAACTGCTTTGAAAAGTTTAGGCAAGCAGAAGACTTGAAAAAGAGTGACACATGAATTACAGGATTCGATCGCGTGCGGTCAAGTAAGGATTGTTTAACTTTGCNACTGTTCCATGTCTCCATCTGGTACCTTTCAAGATCCATGGTATTGTCTCTTCAGAGGTAACAGAATAGAAGACACAGCCATTTCCGCGGCCATACGCAACTACGGCCTCATCCGTTCGTTAGATATTAATTCTCTCGTCGATGAGAAAGCACCTAATGTTCCTCAAAGCTCAGAGACTGTACAAGAATCTGCAGCTGCCATGTCTTCTGAAGCTATGTTGACCAGTTTAGATAAAGCCGGTAATAGTTCTGAAGGTAATAAATTAGCTATGAAGCGTTCATTAATTTGTGTATGAAAAAAAAAAAAAAAAAAAAAAAATCAATAAGTATTTGAATATTTTGTAGTGGAATCATGGCTTACTAGTACCTATGATAGTGATCACCAGCAGGACTTCCTGGACAGGGCTGTTGCTGAAGCTATTAAAAAAAAGGGTTTGAGCGCGCTTAGCGTTGACTATGGTTGATTAGGACGTAACTGAAATTCCGTCCTCTGTTTTAATTTATTCTTGTTGAGCCACCGCAAGTCTACTATATATTTATATTTATATATACATGTAAGTCAAAGTAAATTTTTTATATTATTTTCACTCACCACAGTCACCACACCACTGACTCCGCTGGTCGGAGTTGGACAATTCCTTGGAATCTATATTCTAAATATTCTTACGTACCCCTCTATATACCAATCTACCGTGATCAAAAAGTATTAATATAGGGTTCGAAAACTTGAACTTTAGAGCCCACTCACTGGGAGATTCAAACGTTCACTGTTGATTGCATGCACAAGGATAGGGAAGGTGGGTGGCGCTAATAACTTGAACAGCCACAGAAGCATTTTACTTTTTTTATATATTTGTACAATTTAAGTTGAGAAATTGTTAAGTTGTTAGGCAGTGTTCAACGTTGCGGATGAGTGTAAAAATCTCTGATCTTGTTTACTCATCGATTCTTTTTTCTTAAATCAGCCACTTGGGCATATATATGTACACTTGACAATTCGTGAGTTGTAAGTTTTATCATTAAAATTATGAAACTTAAAAAAAATAAATGTTTGTCTGTTGAACATGCCTTCTCAACCATAATCTAAATTAAAATCTAAAAACTCGGGCACCGCACATTCTATACTGCAACTGGACTAGATAAACGTTTAGATGATTCCATACGTACTTTTTTTATATTATTAATATATATACCTACCAACCTACCTACCTACGTAAGTTTTCATTCGCTCTTATATTTAAGACACTTATTTATTGCTACGAGGCAGAGATAGAACATTATTTAACATATTCCAATTTAATAACGACTTAACCAGTCATTTATCAACATTGTTACTCAACTGCCGTATTTGTTTGTTATACCTAATATAAGTAAACTCATAAANACAGTTGGTGCCATCTAACGCGTCTAACTACGAACTAAGATTGAACGTTTTTTAGTGCGCGTGTCTCGGGTGTGTCTAAGTCTGTCTACTCTCTGGCCCTGGCCTCTCTGCCATTTTAGTCTTCTGTCAAACACAAGCCACAAAAAAAAAAAAAAAAAAAAAAAAAAATTACATTGCTACTGCATTCCGCAATTCGCGTACTCTTAGACGATGTTTAGCATTGATTCGACGATTACTCCGTATGTAGCATCAATTGCAGCTAGTTTATCGTCCACGACAGGATTTTAGAGAGAGCGGGTGTGCAATATCGCGCGCGAGCTTTTTTGTGCGCCGTGCAGAGTTTTTGTGTGGAGAGCTTGCCACTGCACCGCAAGCCACGGAGTGTTAGCTCGGTCGAAAGCTCTCTCTGGGCGTGCAAAAATTGACGGAATGGCAACGGACGCCGAGGAATCGGACACGGATGAGCACGAGAAACCTCGTCCTGCCAAACGGCAAAAGATCCTCGAAAACCAGAGCGAAGCCGAGCTTGAGCCTGTGAGTTTGCCTGATCATTTCTTTATATACCTACTCGCTCTCACGCCCCTTTTTTTGCGCTTTCTGCCCGATGTGCAAAGTACACACAGCGACCCGTTCATACGTGCATATATTATGAAAAAACAATTTTTTTTTACTGGTTCGTAAATGCGCGAAACATTTAATATTCCGTTCTGTTTTGTCGATTTCGCGCGCTCCGCTCAATTATAATTACTCATCCCCACCCCCCCTTCCCCGCCCAATGATTGACTGTCGATTGCGTTATATATATATATTTACAGCCGATTGTTGAACTGGATTGTTTTTCGTAAAAGGATATCTCATGGTTGTGATTGATTTTTTAATATTCAACTATTCTATATAATCAGGGATACTTAATCATGACTCCAAATTAACCTGTACTATGGTGCGCTCATTGAAGAATATATAACGTGGGTAAACAAAACGCGAATGATAAAACAGATCGTGGATTTTTTTTTTTTTTTTTTTTTTTAGAAAATTTGTTTTAAAAGAAAAAAATTAATTTTTTTGTTTATTAATTTATTTGAAAAGTAAGGTAGACAGTGAATGATGAAATAAATATACTTCGGCGCAACTTGCACCTATTGTCACGGAGTTTTTATTCAAATTTCAAATTGAATGTGTGATAACAATGTCATTGTAGCCCGATCCAGAAAATCCGGAAGAAGTAGTTATTGACGAAGAAGAGGACAGGCGCTCAAGAGAAAAGTTGAGATGCTGGCAGACCTGTCAAGTGATCAGAGGTTTTATAGACAATGCAATTAACAGTGCCATTGAAAACTGTTCCATGTCTCCATCTGGTACCTTTCAAGATCCATGGTATTGTCTCTTCAGAGGTAACAGAATAGAAGACACAGCCATTTCCGCGGCCATACGCAACTACGGCCTCATCCGTTCGTTAGATATTAATTCTCTCGTCGATGAGAAAGCACCTAATGTTCCTCAAAGCTCAGAGACTGTACAAGAATCTGCAGCTGCCATGTCTTCTGAAGCTATGTTGACCAGTTTAGATAAAGCCGGTAATAGTTCTGAAGGTAATAAATTAGCTATGAAGCGTTCATTAATTTGTGTATGAAAAAAAAAATAAAAAAAAAAAAATCAATAAGTATTTGAATATTTTGTAGTGGAATCATGGCTTACTAGTACCTATGATAGTGATCACCAGCAGGACTTCCTGGACAGGGCTGTTGCTGAAGCTATTAAAAAAAAGGGTTTGAGCGCGCTTAGCGTTGACTATGGTTGATTAGGACGTAACTGAAATTCCGTCCTCTGTTTTAATTTATTCTTGTTGAGCCACCGCAAGTCTACTATATATTTATATTTATATATACATGTAAGTCAAAGTAAATTTTTTATATTATTTTATGTTGATATGTTAACTATGCTCTCTCTTATATTTTCCAAAGAGTTGGCTTTTTTATGATTACAAATATTTTTTTTTTATCTTTGTCTTACAGACAAAAAACAATTTCTTGCTGCAAATTAAAAATTATTTTTCAATCTTTAATAGAGTGTTAGGTATCGAAAATGAATAAAGAATGTCTCTGATCCCACATTCATTTGTGTCGAAACCGAAGAAAAGAGTGACAAAAATGCGTTGGAAGGATCTTTTCATTTTTTAGTGAAAAGTCACGATCTCTCGACAGTGAGATGAAATTTTGTCCCCGCGCGGCGAGGAAACATGCAAATATATACGAGGTCACATTAACAAGCATAACTTTGTAAGGATCGAGAATTTATTTTTTAAGCTTCATCAGTAGGTTTCTTTTAATATGCGTCTTTAATTAACAGCAAGAAAGTATTAAGCCATTTACTGATAGTCATTAAATTTTATTTTTTAAAGGTAAATAGTTTGAGGCAAGGTGCTTCCGAGCTCCCCCTGTACCTATTGACGTATGTGTAACCAATTTTAAAAAAGCCACTAAATACAAAGAACGTTTAAAAAATTTTAGTCTCATCAACATTCTGCGATGATCCAAAAAAANGTGCGCGTGTCGGGTTTTTGGTGCTTCTTGAAAATGTACATCGAGACGCACCAGAGCGAATGGGGGGCCGTAAATTTCGTTAAGAGTCGTGTTTCACGCTCAACTCGCTTATACGCACGGCGCACACACGTGCGAGGGCCCTCTCGTGTGATTCATACCTCCCATGTAAATACGAGCACTGCATATCTGTATAAAAGGGCCCCATAGACGGGCCTGCGTGCCGATAATATGATTATTACACCCTCGACCGGAGACAATATAGTACTGTGCACGAAGATCATATATGCGGGAAAGTTGTGCGCGTACGAAACGAAAGCGGCGGGGATTTAGGCTTTTCCGATGGCCTCCTCCGGAATGTGTCCACACGTGCCCCCCCTTTGGACCGCGCGAAGTGTGCGCACGTTAATTTATGCGAGGGGCTGGATTCTGTCGCTCCTCTCGATGCTTGGAAAATACGAAGCTCACGAGTCTAACACCATCCCTCGTATATTTCAAACAAATATATTTTTTAAAATTAATATATTACAATCAATCGCTCAATATATGAATTGCAATGCCTACATTAAGTTGGCGAGTAACTACAGATAACTTTAGTCAGTTTTACAAGTAAAATATCCTCGTGCAAAGTATATTTTGCAAGTATTAAACGATGTATAAGTGAAAAAAAAGTTATACAAAAAAAAAGACATTGTACTGTGTACTGAGAACAATAAAAAATAAAATCAATTTCATTGTACTAAATCCTTTGGTTGATGGTTGAAAAAATTAATCCTCCGCCAAGAAAAAGCCCGCCACGTTTTCAAACTGAGAACCAATTCTCAACAACGAATGGTCCCAGATTTTCAGAGCACCATCATCATTTCATCCCCATCCCCTAAATACACACGCACACACGTTCATTATGCAGACTCCACCCCATTCCCTTTCATTCGCCCGGGTCTCTTTTCCTCCACTTTCCCCCTCCGCTCTCGGATTTCCCGAGTACGCGCGTATAATGTACATGTACTTATATGTATATAAAATCCTCCACTGTTTCTCCATATCCCAATCTCATTTCCGCGTCACCGTCGTCGTCATCCACCTCCACCAGCTTCTTCTTTTTTTTGCAAAGTTGTTTCTCCTCTTCTCCCTCTTGTCTCTCCGGCCGGCGAGTGTCTATATGAAATATATTACAGGACACAAGGATGAGAATACATTCAAATATACCTACTGGTGGAGAGCAAAAGCGAGAGACAGACCAAACCACCACGAAGAAAAATGAAAAGTCGAAACGAGTTATCGCGAGGAGCATGGGAGAGATCTTCCAAACTTGGGGGAGGGGGTGTATAAAAATTGATGAGTTTTATCGAAAATTAGGGACCAAGCGTTAAGTATTATCTTTTGTTAAAGTACAATTTATTTATTTATTTTATTCATTCATATGAACCAAAAAACAAACTTTTTATTCGATGCATCAGATGGCGATGCCTTTTCTCCTTTTGGCCTTATCGTTGATTTCGATTGATATATGAGCGACGCACATAAATCTGTAAGTACATGTATATGAATCTATAAGTACATTTCGTTGATTGCGTCGATGATTGCGATTGCGAGTGACCAAATGAGTAAAAAAAAAACAACGAGCATGTGAAAGTTTAAACGTGACGAGTTATCTGTAAAAAAAACACCTTTATTAGATTATAATAAATAATAATTTTTACTCGAAGCCAAATGTGTTTTATTATGATAATACGTATATTTATAGCTAGACGATGTTGTATCATCCTTGTTTTGGATAATAGTTTTCTGTGCTATGAATAACGCTCGGAAAAGGTGAAAGACCCTATATATTTTTACTTATTTATATTTAGTTCATATTTCTACTCACTGTATTATTGGAATCATGTTAAAATTATATTATTTTTTATTATTAAAAAAAAAACAAATTTTTTGTATGCCTGTGATTAATTTCTTAGCTTGTAGACAGTAATATTATTTGTGCAAAAATAACGAAAAATGTACTAAAATAAGTAAGGATCGAGGTAAGGAGCGTGTCGTGTTGTATATCTAATGGGTTATGACCTTTTTGAAGAATTAGGGTAAATATTTATCGAAACTGAGAAAAATCATAAAAATGATGTTGTATGATAATTAGCCGTACGTAATGGCAAAAAGTAACATGGAGCCCGCGCGAGTGTACCGACACTCGTTTCGCAAGCGTATCCTTCGCATTCCCCATTTATAACGATGGCTTGTATATCTATGTGTACGAATGAATGTCGAAAGGATACACAAGCCATTGGCAAAAGGTGTGTAGACAAGTATATAAGTATAATACATATACCTGTACGAAAGTAGTGGGTCTCTCTCATCTTATGTGTCTCTTTTCAAAAAACATATACTTACTTAGCACGCGAATACATAATTAGCCCTAGGTATTAGGGATTCGAATGTTGCACGTACACCGGCTATGAATGAATAGGTATATAGTTTTTACATACACAGCTACTTGCTCTTCTTTCGCCGGTCGTGCGCGTATTCGCAAATCATAAATTTTATACGATAATCCTTGTACGCGGATTCATTTGTCTCGGAACCAATTACCTAATGATTATATTTCCTTTATCACTTGGTATAAGTATTACACCGCTCTCGCGAAAAACAAAACGTCACGAGACGAAAATACCATACTTAGATATATTCTCGGGGATAAATTAAGGTATAGCCGTACGTAAAAAGGAGTCGCAGTGTTGCTCGCTGGTAGAAAAGTAAATAGGTATCCTGGGGGGCGAGAAGCGAGAAGAAGAATAGAGGGTGGTGTGTACACACACACACACACAGACGACAAATAGTTGGTAGACTTGGTGTAGCTGGCAGGGTAAAAAAAAAGCTTTAAAAGAGGACCGGAGGACGACCTTACACATTTGTGCGTATATAATGTGTTCCGTATATGTGTATCTACATACAATATAGTATATATGTTGTAAAAAAAAAAAAAAAACGTGCTCTGGTAAAGAGGAAAAGGAAAGAAATATGTGTGTGCGAGAGAAAAGAGAGGAAGTATATATAACAATTGCGCGTATGGTAGTTGAAGAGAGACGGATAACATTTTTTTTGTCTTTTTCGCGGGCGACCGGCAAGAGAAGGACGGGGGGGGTGGATACTACTTACTCTGCGAGTAGAGCAGCAGGTAGTATATGTTGATAGTCAACGTTCGTTGAGTTAAAGATTTGGCGGCTTTGACGCTTGTAACGAAGGTTGCACAATTGTCAATTGTATACATACGCTGCTCGAGCTGACTCCCGTAAGTATAGACGACGACAGGCCCCGGCCCGGCCCCCGTCGCCCCGTCCGTGTTGCTGCTTGTACACACACACACACACACTGGTGTTGTAGTATTACACACGAGAGAGCGTCGCGACTCGAGAGAAGGAAAGTCGTCGTTCGTCGTCACTCGATCGGTCCGGACTCCGGTCATCAGTCGTCAACGTCGACGTGTAGCAAAATATAGTGTACATATACCTACTTACTCATGCCGGAGCCGAATTAAACTTGTAGAGTTTCCGAGTTGTGGATACCTGGAAATTCTGGATGGTGTGTGCAAGGATCATGGATTCTATGAACGTTTTTAAGTATTAATTAACGGCGGTTAGTTAGTACCGAGAGGGGAGCGTCGATGCCGCTGCCTGTAGTGCTGCTGCTGCACTTGAATCATCGTAAACGGACTTGTCCGAAAGACAGCAGCAGCTCGCATTATCTGCAAGGATTGAGTAGTTGAAGTTGGGACGCTATCGCGAGACGGGTTTTTTTAGATTTTTTAATTGCATTTTACATACATATATCGTGCGCGCGCGGGCGCGTGTGCGGCTTGTGTGCTTGAGTACGATTGTGTGAGGAGGAGGACGAGCAGCAGCGGGGTTTGACTGGCGGAGGAGGCGGGCGGTCATTAGATACACGCAGACACAACGCCGCCTCGAGAATGGCGTCCGACGAGGAGGTCGACGAGAACTTCGCTGGTGAGTACCTAAAGCATACTTGCCGCTCGCTCCGAATACTTACGATTATCTTGTGCCTTAATCATTATTTCACGCTAATGTCACCGTGTTGTTATTAAGCTTGAACTATACGAAGCTGTAAGAGTGTCATCCATGGGAGTACCGGGTGGTTAATGTGAGCGAATCCGGGGGCACGCGTCGCGTCGAGGCATCCCACTATCGGTCTAGGGTTTAACCTCAAAATCGGTCTGTGTTTATGCGCGCGCGCCAGCCCGCCAGCCGCCTGTGCCTAACCTTACATTTTCATCCCTTTCTCTCCCTCGGTGCAAATAAGTTTGTTCTTTCGCTCGTGTCACCGCGCTCTTCGAGAATATGTCCCCAATGTGCTTGCTCTGAAACTACATTACGTGCTCAAACATGCGTCCAAGGTCGTCGAAGGAGTCGCTCTTCCCGACGACGATCTTTTCCTGTACATTCTCCTCGTATAGCTCCATCCTCTTTTAGTACATACACTGTAACACACGCTGTGCCCATGATACCCCTATAGGTACACTATATTTTGATATGTTCCCTGCGGCCGCTTTACCTTGGCACTCGTCTCTCGCGCGCTTGTAATCTTTTTCTTCTGTCTCTCTCTTTCTCTTGCCACTCTCCTTTGTCTCTTCGTTCTGCTGCCTCGCAATCATTAGCGATTTTCGCAAAGCTGTCAAATATTAAGTACTTGCATTGTGCCTGCTTGGCATTTTTGATTTCTTGAAAAAATTTACCAAACTATTTAAAACTTGAGTCAAATCCCGCGAATTTTTTTTTCTTCTATTTCTAATTCAAAAGAGTCTTTTCATTTTAAATATCATACGTAAGTACATCTACATTGTTCGTATTTATAACACGATTAATAATGATGATTAAAAAGTCATCAAAGTACATTTCGGAGCAACCGTTTCTGCTAGAGCTGCATAAATGTCTTTAAACGCAAACCTTATATATTTTTTAAAACATTTTCAAAACAAATTTAAGTCACCTAAACAGTATTAAAACATTCCGTTATGCTTGACTGTAATATATTGTACACTATGAGGTCGTTGGTACAAACATCCGTTGTTTTCCAAAATGAGTATTTTTGAAAACTGTTTATACCAGACAGCCGGTCGGTATTACCGAGAAACATTAATGTTAAATAACACCGTCTTGCATATTTAGCGTCTGACTGCCGTTAATAACAAAATAGTTGAACGCAATTCATATTCCTTGCGCATATAACAGCCTGCGAGAGTCCTGAATGTCCTGATGGAGGTCGAAAATGAAAAGGAAAATTCGTTATGCCCAAAGGAAACACAACAGGCTCCTGTCGAGTTGGGGTGGGGGTTTAGGGGGCACACAGAGGGCCCTTTTGTAGAAAATGGCTGCCATCAAAAGCAAAAGTCCAACGTTCACTGACACACTCAAACACGTTCATGTGCTGTAGGTGAACTTTATGCCAGGTATAATATACCTACTTAACCATAAGTAAAAGTGTGCCTGATGGGGGTTGTAGAAGTATAGGTATAGCACAGCGAAAAATAACTTGTACCCAGTCATGGTCATGGTACAGAACATTCTCACATGGTAAGTATATACTTATTATGGGGATACTTGCATAGTACATTACGCAAAAAGAGTATTGTTGTACATTGCGATACAATACATCACATATTCCTTTATTTCTTCTTTTTCGCTATTTACAGGTATACGTGCAACATTACATGAACAGCAGACGGGCCAAATCTTTGTCGTGTTATATAATATATCATAATATATAATATAATATATCATAATTTAGGGCTTAAATATTACGCGCCGATTGTGTTCCGCGATACCTACGTGTTAATACCTACATCTGTTTTTATCCATCTGATGCACGCTTCTCTCTTTACGTCTGTACGTGTGAATAAGTATCGTATACATTTAATTGTCAGTGTGGATTAGCGAAAAATGCAAGTACGTTAAATTATACTATGTTCGTGTAGTTCATCGCGTACATTGCAAGCACCCGACTTCCTTTTGCCTTTCACCTCGATTATCTTGCGTGTATTATTTTCACGCCCCCTTATATATTAAAGGAAGACCAACGTAATTATCAAGTATAACGTTATTGTGACTACTATCTTAAAAAAAGGCCAACATGGTGGAAAACGTTAAAATAAGGACCATTTTCATGCTGCCATCGAGTTTCGCGGCAAATTTACTTATTGTTGCGCGTGTATGAATAACGTTGTTTCCAAAATCTACTTGCATCGTCAATTTTTTTGTTTCCTTCAAAACAAATAAATATGTTGGTGCAAAATAGGAGTTGATTGTAAAATGAAAATTGATTGTAGCGTTTGGAAAATATCATAATTAAATAAAAAAGAAAAATATCCCGAGCATGCAGTTATCACTACTAGAGTTTGTGAAATTTTATACAACTATTGTAGTATTTGCAATGACAGCCGTTAGTACGGTAAAGGTCATTAACACGTAAGTTATGCGCTTTCAACGTTTACTTTTATTAAATTTATACTTGTATATACACAATATTACTACTTGAGCATGGTATTTCGAACGAGCTAACATTTTTTAATTGGTCTTATCGATTATCGAATTCGGATAGAAGCTGCTGCTGCAGCTACGAAATATCGGTTTTGTATATTAATAATAATAATTTAAAAAAAAGAAGCATAATACTTGTCGTTCAATACGTTGAATCTGCTCTTACCTTTTATAAAATAAATTAGTTAAATGTGCAAGTTCGATGTGAATTAAAAAAACTACACATTTTCGCATTAGCATGATTTCAAAGGATAGCTTTTGATGAAAATGCTATAAATATGGAGAAAAATAGGGTTATTGGAATAACACAACGTTGCACTCCGCGAATAAAAGAACATATATAGCTATACGCGAGTAAACTTTATACACAATGCAAATTACACCATACAGCTATCTCTATTATTAAAGTTTCTCGAGAAAGAAGGAGGGAGGGGGGAGCTGCAACTACGCCCCTTTTTCATTTTTATGAGAGTGTGGGAAAACTTTTTTAATTTTGGTATTTGTTAGTTAAGAAAAAAGGATCCAAATTACATTTGAGAATTGTGTTCTCTGTTGCTACACTTCGAAATTATTGGTGTACTAACCTTTGAAAAATCAAAGTAGATAAAAACCCGTATACTTATGCAGTTAAGTAAATTTTCCGAGGTCTACAAGGTCTAGTTTTGTGGATACGTAATGTAGAATTTGTCATTTGGCATTAATTTGACATCTTGTTAAACACTTTTTTTTTTTTTTTTATTTATTATAAATTTTTACGACTCCGCTGGTCACCTCCACAAGCATGCGATTGGGACACGTTCCACCTGGAAAGAGTAAAAAACTTAAAAGTATACATAGGAAAGAATCATAATTGTCGATTTTCAGCGAGGCTTCCAAAAAATTCCAATGTAATAGAAGAGTGGGGAGGGGGGTCCAGGAAGATAGTAATGCATATGCATTTGGTATATATTAAAATCTCCTGATTTTTACAAATGAATGTTATGAATTAAATACATGTAATTATGTAAAGTTACATCCCATACCGAACGCTACATCAGATATTGTTATACTCTCGTTTGTTCTTTCGTTTTCTCCCTCTCGCATTAGACGAACACCAGCCGACGAGGCGCGGATGTTGATGTACATTACGAATAACGACCTTTCCCCTCCTCCTTCTCCGTCTGTCCCTCCTCTCCGGGGAAAAGATGTATTGGAAAAAATCCTGAATAAATTTTTTTCATTTCTTTGTTTGAGGGGTCAAATATATATTTTGAGCCTCGGTGCATTTTGAAGGAAACACATTTACCTCTGGTGCTTGCGCTCACGCGAATACGATACAATTATACTTGTACCTGTAAAGACACGGAGACGGGCACACGCTCTCTTTTTTCTTCCTCCTCTCGGGAGCAACAGAGCCTAGGCAGGGCGGCGTGAGCGCGGGGTGAGAGATCGATATATTCTCATTTGCTTAGCGGCCGAGCTTCGGTGGGTGGTGCGTGTACGTGTCCGCGTGTACACTCGCATATACACGTACCGATAGCGAGCGCGAAGGGAAAAGAGGAGGCAGAGCTGCTGGAGAAATTTTTTTGCGAGCCCCTGAGATTTTTTTCCGACACTTTTCTCTTTCGCGCTCATGCAAATATAGGTTTACCTATACCCTCACGCTGTACCTTGATGTGCACCTTTATCGTTGTCACTGCTAAATGATGCGCGACTGTTCTGTCCGTTTCGTTATTGGTGCTTGAACGCGTACATAAATATGTGTTTAAGATGATCGAAAATTATATCGCTCGAGGCATGAAGCAATGATTTTTCATCATAAATTTAATACCCCTGATCGTGTTTATTCGAAATTGCAGGTGAAGACGAGGTAGAAGAAACTGGAAATCAGGTGTCGAGTGTCGGACAGCCAGTTGAAGGTTCGACTGATGCCGAGGAGTCGCAGCGTCTGGTGAGTTTTTTTCTTTTTCATTTTTTTTTCGAGATAAATAATCGGTGTTGGAAAAAAAAAAAAAAAAAAAAAAAACCTTCCTTAAGATATGTAACTCTGTTCAAGGAGGAAGATGACGACTACGAGCCCGAGGAGCGTAAGAAAAAGAAGGGTAAAAAGAGAAAAGCTCGAAGCGAAGACAAAAAGGGCAAAAAGAAGAAGAAAAAGAAAAAGTCCGACTCGGGTGATGTAAGTATATTCGATCGCCTATTATAGTGCATCTCGTATTTTTAATAATAAAGAAGTAAAATAAAAAAATGTTAATTCGTCCTTTGGTCCCTTTGTAGGAAAGTGATTTTGGCGGTGTCGGCGAAAATGCCGATTTGGGCGGTGGAGAAGACAGTGACTACGCGGCCAACCGCAAAAGCCGCAAGTCCTCGTCGCGCAAGTCGTCGAGTCACGCAGCCAGTGCCTCGGCAACACCGACACCTACTACCCAGGGTCAACAGGAACCTGCCACCGGCATGCCAACGATCGAGGAGGTCTGCAGCACTTTCTACCTCACCGACGTAAACATACCCTACACAGACTCGGATTTTCAAAACCTCACCACGTACAAGCTGTTCCAGCAACACGTTAGGCCAATGTTGGCCAAGGAAAATCCTAAGGTGCGCTGATCAACTTGAATCAACTTCAATGTATACGTTTTTTCGTTGATTGATAGTTTGTTATTTTAAAATTTTTAACTTTTTATCTGTAACAGGTTCCAATGTCAAAGCTTATGATGCTGGTTGCGGCCAAGTGGAGAGACTTTTCCGAAGCAAATCCACACACGCAACCCGAAGTCGAGGCATCGAACCAGTCTGTCGACGAGGATAACAGAAGTGCGCGAGGGAATCGCAGTATTGTTAACCCAGAAGACGAGGATGAGGATGACGACGAGGATAGCGATCGTAAAAAAAAATCACGTAGTTCCAGGACCAAGAAAGGCAAAAAGACGTCGAAGGTGCCAACGCTCAAGATTAAGTTGGGAAAACGTAAAAGAGGTAGTTCGGTAAGTTTTTGCGATTTTTTAATATTTGCTTGGTTAATATTTAAAAATTTTTATTTATTTTTCTCAATTTTATTCATAAACAATTTTCTTATCAGGACGAAGAGGTCGACGGGAGCGGTCCAGGTTCTGATAGGGACTCGGATATGGAATTTGAACAAATGTTGGCCGACGCCGAAGACGCGCCGGCTACGGAGAACAACGCTAAACCAGAAGAATCGAGTGCCGAGACGCCAGCTGATCCGCCTGTTCGCAGAAAGGCCAAGACTAAAATCGGTAACAAAACAAAAAAGAAAAAGAAGACCAAGACTACGTCAAAATTCCCTGATGGAGAGGTAACGTGTTGTAGCTGTATAAAATAATTCGATGTCGATATTCTGTAGTAACTTTTGTTTTACTCTTTTGTTTGCATAGACTGATCATCAAGACTATTGTGAAGTGTGTCAACAAGGGGGAGAGATTATTTTGTGTGATACCTGTCCTCGAGCTTATCATTTGGTCTGTTTGGAACCCGAGCTGGAAGAGACACCAGAGGGAAAGTGGAGTTGTCCACATTGCGAGAACGAAGGTACAACAACCGTTTTTAAACTTTATTTGTTATCTCCCAAATGTGCAGATGTCTGAAAGTTGATTAAACGAATGAATGCATAAATGAACATTTTACAACATTGTAGGTGCAGTGGAGGACGACGACGAGCACATGGAATTCTGCCGGGTGTGCAAGGACGGTGGTGAACTGCTGTGTTGCGATAGCTGCACAAGCGCCTACCATACGCACTGCTTGAACCCACCGTTGTCCGAAATCCCGGATGGTGATTGGAAGTGTCCACGATGCTCGTGTCCTCCATTATACGGTAAGGTGGCCAAGATTCTTACCTGGCGTTGGAAGACTGTAGACCCAACGGGCGACGAGCCCTCAACGAGTAAGGCAGCTGCCAAGCCCCGCCGCATCCGCGAGTTCTTCGTTAAGTGGACTGATCGCTCTTATTGGGAATGCGATTGGGTGACCGAGCTCCAGCTTGATGTGTTTCATCCACTCATGTTTAGAAATTATTCACGCAAGTATGACATGGACGAGCCACCTAAGCTAGAGGAACCACTCGACGAGGCTGACACGCGTGTCAAGCGTTTAAAAGACCACCAAGATAAAGATAGCAATTTAGAACAGCTCGATCTCGAGGAGCGGTTTTATCGTTACGGTGTCAGACCCGATTGGTTAGTCGTGCATCGAGTTATCAATCACCGATTGCAGCGTGACGGCAGAGCGCTGTATTTGGTCAAATGGCGTGAACTGGGTTATGATCAGTCGACCTGGGAAGACGAAAACGCCGACATTCCGGGCCTGAAGCAGGCTATGGAATATTACGTGGATCTGCGAGCAGCTAACTGCGCCGACGGACCCCCCTCTAGAAAGGGTAAAAAAGGCAAGGGTAAAAAGTCTAAGACGAAGGAGATTATCGACGACGAGGAGAGACAGCCGAGGAGGTACACGCCACCCCCCGAAAAACCGACCACTGATCTCAAAAAGAAGTACGAGAGGCAGCCCGATTACCTCGACATGACTGGCATGCAGCTTCATCCCTATCAGCTCGAAGGCTTGAATTGGTTGAGATATTCATGGGGCCAAGGCATAGACACTATCCTTGCTGACGAGATGGGTCTCGGCAAAACTATCCAGACCATCACGTTTCTCTATTCACTATACAAAGAGGGTCACTGCAAGGGCCCATTCTTAGTTTCCGTACCTTTGTCAACCATCATAAATTGGGAAAGAGAATTTGAAACATGGGCACCAGACTTTTATTGTGTTACTTACGTCGGTGACAAAGACAGCCGTATGGTTATTCGTGAAAACGAGCTATCCTTTGAAGAGGGCGCGGTGCGTGGAGGACGGGCATCCAAAATTCGCTCATCTTCGATCAAATTTAATGTTTTACTGACAAGCTACGAGTTGGTCTCGATCGACTCGGCGTGTCTGGGTTCTATCGACTGGGCCGTGCTCGTCGTTGACGAAGCTCATCGTCTCAAATCGAATCAGTCCAAATTCTTCAGGCTGCTAGCCTCCTACAATATTGCCTACAAACTCCTGCTCACGGGTACACCGCTGCAGAACAATCTCGAGGAATTGTTCCATCTGTTGAACTTTTTGTGTCGCGATAAGTTTAATGATCTGGCAGCTTTCCAAAACGAGTTCGCTGATATTTCGAAAGAGGATCAAGTGAAAAAGTTACACGAAATGCTGGGACCTCACATGCTGCGTCGATTAAAGGCCGACGTACTCAAGAATATGCCCAGTAAATCCGAGTTCATCGTGCGAGTCGAGCTGTCGCCGATGCAGAAGAAATACTACAAGTACATTCTGACGCGCAACTTCGAGGCTCTGAACCCAAAGGGCGGCGGCCAGCAGGTTTCGCTGCTCAACATAATGATGGACCTGAAAAAGTGCTGCAACCATCCGTACCTGTTTCCAGCTGCGTCGCAAGAAGCACCCACTGGCCCAAATGGCAATTACGAGTCCTCTGCCCTCATAAAGGCTGCAGGAAAGCTCGTTTTGCTCAGCAGAATGCTAAAGAAGTTGCGCGATGACGGCCACAGGGTACTTATTTTCTCGCAAATGACTAAAATGTTGGATCTGCTTGAGGATTACCTTGAAGGCGAGGGCTACAAATACGAAAGGATCGATGGCAACATCACTGGTACTCAACGACAAGAAGCCATCGATAGATTTAACGCGCCTGGCGCTCAACAATTCGTCTTTTTGCTCTCCACCAGAGCTGGTGGCTTAGGTGAGTAATACGTTCAATGATATATGTCGTAAGCGTCTTTGTAAGTTAAGTTGAGATGAGATCAACTATGAATGATTAATTGCAGGTATCAATTTGGCTACGGCTGATACTGTGATAATTTATGACTCCGATTGGAATCCACACAACGATATTCAGGCGTTCAGCCGAGCTCATCGCATTGGTCAGGCCAACAAGGTCATGATTTACCGCTTCGTCACGCGTAACTCGGTAGAAGAGAGAGTTACTCAGGTAGCCAAGCGTAAGATGATGCTCACGCACTTGGTAGTGCGTCCCGGTATGGGTGGCAAGGGCGCAAACTTTAGCAAACAAGAACTGGACGACATTTTACGTTTCGGTACTGAAGAGCTGTTCAAGGAGGAAGAGGGCAAAGAGGACGAAGCTATTCACTACGATGACAAGGCTGTTACCGAGCTGCTTGACCGCAGCAAGGAAGGTATCGAGCAAAAGGAAAATTGGGCCAATGAGTACCTTAGTTCGTTCAAAGTGGCTTCGTATGTAACCAAGGAAGGTGAGACGGAGGAAGAGGCCGACACTGAGATTATCAAGCAAGAAGCCGAGAATACCGATCCCGCTTACTGGATAAAATTGTTGCGACATCACTACGAGCAGCAACAGGAAGACATTGCCAGGACGCTTGGCAAAGGGAAGCGTGTCAGGAAGCAGGTAAGCAGATATGTGCGTTACCTATTTTATTATTATTATTTTTTACATTTTAAGTGTAGTTTGTTGCTGTTCACTTTGTTTAATACACGTAGATTAGTGTCCAATACCTCTTAGTGGGCTAATCCAACTTTTGTGTCGCTAGTAATATTTTTCAGCAACGCCTCTGATATACTTATCAAGCTTTAATTAGTTTATGACAATTTAAACAGTTTTTTTATTTATAGCTGTTGATAATAACGTTTTTCTTATTTCCTTGTTACTATTATTACTATTGTTTACTAATTTCTTATATTCTTTGCACATTTTTTTTTTTTTTTTTAATAAATATTGAATAATTTTCTTAACATGCTTCCGACACGCTCAAAATAACTAAAAACGTTTCAAGAGACAAGCATTTTGCATGAAATTAAATTAAAATAAGTTTATTAAAGTGTTGTATACTTAAAATGATGCTTGCAATAATATTGAAATTATAAAAGTGCACTACTACTATAAAACATTACTTGTCTGTAAACCTATTGGAAAATTGGAATTTTTTCAAAAAGTGTGACAATTAATGAAGTGATAGTAGGTTGTAGTTTTTCAAGCAGCATTTGAGAAAAAAAACCTTAGTTAAAACAGGTTCTGTGGGAATACTTTGTAATGATACGATAATTTAATTCAGTTCACTTGATTTTTTATTGATATCCTAACATCGGTGCAAAGTTATGTATTCCCTCACGGACTATTAAAACATTAAGTTCGAAAAGTAACAACTGTTGGCTCTTTTTTTTTCTCCACTGACTCGCTGGACATATTTTGTTTCTCTCTACAATAGGTCAATTATAACGATGGTGCCGTGACCGGTGAGCAAGGTACACGAGATGATCAGCCCTGGCAAGACAACATGTCGGACTACAACAGTGACTTTAGTGCTCCAAGCGATGACGACAAAGAAGATGATGACTTTGACGAAAAGGGCGAGGGTGATTTACTGTCTCGTCGCAGTCGTCGTCGACTGGAACGCCGTGATGAAAAGGACAGACCATTGCCACCATTGCTCGCTCGGGTCAACGGCAACATTGAGGTGTTGGGATTCAATGCGCGTCAGCGTAAAGCCTTCCTCAATGCTATTATGCGATATGGAATGCCACCTCAAGACGCTTTCAATTCGCAATGGCTTGTTCGTGATTTACGTGGTACGTAGATACAGAGTAAATTAATTGGAAGATCGTTTGTTAATAAAACTATAAGCCATTGAAGCATTTACTGATTCATCATTTTTCGTATCACATTAGTCATTCAAAACGTATTTTTAATGTAGGAAAATCTGAAAAGAACTTCAAAGCATACGTGTCCCTGTTTATGCGTCATTTGTGCGAACCCGGGGCTGACAATGCTGAGACATTTGCCGATGGTGTTCCACGTGAAGGCTTAAGCCGACAACACGTGCTCACGCGTATCGGTGTCATGTCGCTGATACGCAAGAAGGTTCAAGAATTTGAGCATATTAATGGCTACTATTCGATGCCAGAGATGATTCGTAAGCCAGTAGAGCCTATCAAACCGGCCATCGGCGATGCCGCGAACGCTGCCATTGTATCTGCAACTGCGACCGCCACAACGACGGCCACGGCAACGGGTAATGATGGAAGCGCGACGACTGGCTCGACAAGCAGTACGGGAGTCATTGCAATGCCTGTGCCGTCGGATGCTCCGAGTCCGAACACTGCTGCTATCCCTGCACCAGGTGATGCGGCGGCTGCCAAAGATGAATCTAAGGAGAAAGACACGAATTCTGAAGAAATTAAGGAGAAAAAAGATACTTCGGAATCTCCTGTAAAGGTAGTTGATGTGTTAATTTTTGCTGTGTTTTACATAAGTCTTACTTTTTTTGAATGTAATATTTATTTGATATTTTTGTTCATTTTAGGAGAATTCGAAAGATGAAGAAAAATCCGCGACAGGTGGAGAAGAAAACAAAATTAATGACGAAGCAAAGAAAGAAGAAAAAGAATCGGCTGATAATGAGAAAATATCAATGGAGGCTAAGGATGGTGAAAAAACAGACGTCAAAGATGAAAAGAGCCGAGTCAAGGATGAAAAACCAGCTAAGGATGAGGTATGTAAAACATTGAGTCAATGTTGATGAAATTTTGAAAATTGTGCTCAAAATCGGTTGTTCATTGGGACTTTCTGGTTTTAGAAACCTGTTGAAAATGCGGAAAACAAGAAAATCGAAATTGAAGATGACGTCGTAATCGTCAAAGACGACGAGGAGGAATTGAGTGTCGAGAAGAAGGATGAAAACAAGGACAAGGACATGAAGGATAAACACTCAAAGGAAAATGAAGAATCCAAGCCCAAGCGCAAATTTATGTTCAACATCGCGGATGGCGGATTTACGGAGCTTCACACGCTTTGGCTGAATGAAGAAAAAGCGGCGGTTCCTGGGCGAGAATACGAGATATGGCACAGGCGTCACGATTACTGGTTACTTGCCGGAATCGTAACTCATGGTTATGGTCGTTGGCAAGATATCCAGAACGATATCAGATTCGCAATCATCAATGAACCCTTCAAAATGGATGTCGGCAAAGGCAACTTTCTCGAAATCAAGAACAAGTTCCTCGCACGGCGTTTCAAGCTTTTGGAGCAAGCTCTTGTTATCGAAGAACAGTTGCGACGTGCTGCATACCTTAATCTCACTCAGGACCCCAACCACCCAGCTATGAGCCTAAACGCTAGGTTTGCTGAAGTTGAGTGTCTTGCTGAGTCTCATCAACACCTCAGTAAGGAGAGTCTGGCTGGCAACAAACCTGCCAATGCTGTATTGCACAAGGTAATGCATCATTTTGGTTTTATGTATTTGATGAAAGACAAGTGTTGACTATGAAATAACCCTATATCTGCATTTGATCTACAGGTACTAAATCAATTAGAGGAATTGTTGTCGGACATGAAGTCGGATGTGAGCCGACTGCCAGCTACGTTAGCTCGCATTCCCCCAGTTGCTCAGAGATTGCAGATGTCTGAACGATCGATTCTGAGTCGCTTAGCAGCCACGGCGCCTGGTAGCAACAACTCCCAAACCGGTCAGGCTGCGTTACTTGCACAACAATTTCCCCCCGGTTTCACCGCTGGTCAACTACCATCAACGTTCGCGGGTGCAGCTAACTTTGGCAACTTTAGGCCACAGTATTCTGTACCAGGGCAGCCTCCACAAGGATTTGCAGGTCGGTAACAAATTTTTCGCAATTGCTGTTGTTGACGAACACTAGACTAACACAATCATTCCTTTTATAGCTTGAAAACTCGAGGATTCAATGGAGATACGCTAAACATCAGACTACCCATAACGTCCGATAGAATTCTGTTTTGAGCTTATTTCAGGCTGAAAAATGGAATGGACGGCGAGGGCACGCTGTGTAATCTTATTTTTCGTAAAACTTCACATTCACACAAACAAATCACACAAGACACTGTTTCTAGCTAGATTTTTACTAGATAAGGACCTTTTTGAGGATGTGCGCTAGACGTTAATTAGTTTGAAAAAAAAATATTGATAATATCCTACACATTCATTCAAATGTAATGTAATTTTTTCTGTGTTTATTATGTGTATACATTCATCGAACAATTTTAAGAAAAGCAACCTTTTTGTATTGTCAAGATGATTTATGGATTAACTTTATTAGATAAACTTTATTAGTTAAGCGATCGAAATTCCTCCTGATCAGTAATGATCTATGAAAAAAAGCGCCCACGTTTCGTACGTTATAAGTACACATTACTTAAATTTATTTAAGCAAAAATTGTATTTTTACTCGAAGATTTAGATTAAACTTTGTTCAAGGATTTAAGTATCTTTTCTTTATTTATTGTTCAAAGTCTTTATCCTCTCAAGTATGATCCTTACGTAGTTCTTGTTTACCAGACTTTTTCATCCTTGGTATTTTAGATCTGACAACTATCAGAAATATTAATATTTTAATTAAATTTCTTTCGTTTATCGGTAGTTTTCGCTTCTATATTACACCATGGTCAAACTTGGAAAAAAATTTTTAACGATCACCGCCATCTAGCGAGGCCGATTTTGAACTAAAAAGAACCATATTTCTAGTTTTTTTAGGCAAGTTTACAATTTATTTTTCACCCGAAAGTATAAATTTATAGGTGGTCGATATTCGTGTGAAAGATACATTGCAAACTTGCCGCAAATAGCACAAACAATGATAACTTTTAATTTTGTATCTACAAAATTAGTTGCGGCTGGTTTATGATTGATTAAATGGCTCTACTATAAGTAGTAAAAATCATTTGGATCAGCGCCATCTAGCGGTCGAAATTTTTTTGAAAAATCTCTACCTGAATATCTTCCACCTACTATATATTTATACTTTCGGGTAAAAGATAAATTGTAAACTTGCCGCCAACAGTGCAGACAACGTAAACTTTTATTTTACATGTTTGATATTAGTTGCGGCTGGTTTATAATTGAGTAAATGGCTCTAGGGCTAAACTGCCTAAAGCTCTCCTTCAGAATTTCAGAAGCAATTTTTGGCCAAAAAAATTTCGACCGCTAGATGGCGCTGATCCAAATGATTATTACCACTTATAGTAGAGCTATTTAATCAATCATAAACCAGCCGCAACTAATTTTGTAGATACAACATAAAAAGTTAACATTATTTATGCTGTTTGCGGCAAGTTTGCAATGTATCTTTTACACGAATATCGACCACCTATAAATTTATACTTTCGGGTGAAAAATAAATTGTAAACTTGCCGCTAAAAATGCAAACAACGTTTACTTTTCATTTTATATTTATCAAATTAGTTGCGGCTGGTTTATAATTGATTAAATGGCTCTACCATAAGTAGTAATAATTATTTGGATCAGCGCCATCTAGCGGTCGAAATTTTTTTGGCCAAAAATTGCTTCTGAAATTCTGATGAAGAGCTTCAGGCAGTTTAGGCCCTAGAGCTATTTAGTCCATTATAAACCAGCCGCAACTAATATCAAACATGTAAAATAAAAGTTTACGTTGTCTGCACGGTTGGCGGCAAGTTAACAATTTATCTTTTACCCGAAAGTATAAATATGTAGTAGGTGGAAGATATTCAGGTAGAAGATAAATTGTAAACTTGCCGCAAACAGCACAAACAATGTCAAATTTTTATTTTATATCTATAAGATTGGTTGCGGCTGGTTTATAATTGACTTAATGGCTCTAGGGCCTAAACAGCCTAAAGCTCTCCTTCAGTATTCATAAGATTAGTAGCGGCTTGTTTATAATTGATTTATTGATTACTTGGTGTATTATTTTTATTGATTCAATAGTGAGTTTTTCTAAAAAAAAATGTGGTTCGTTTTTAGTTTGGAATCAGCTTTGTTAGATGACGCTGATCATAAATTGAACATCAATTTATCAATTAATTCAATGGACTAGACATACGTGTAAGCTTTTCTAAACATCCAGCTGTTTTTTTGGTTCAGACGTGATGTATGTATACCTATATACATGAGATTTTTATCTCTATGATAAAATAGACAAAAGCGAAAACCGCTAGTGAGATCCAACTCAATTATTTGGTCACGTTTGGACGACTTTTCGAACGAGCGTGGGTCGCCCGCGGTCCTTAACAAACGTATACCTAGATATAAACTTTAGTACCACTTTACTTAGTTAACTAAAGTTTACTACCTCCTTACCTCCTTTGACGATTTGACGTTTCGGTGGTGATCGTTGCCATTCACCAAGTATTTACACATTATATGGCAAATCTGACTTCCGGAACGCTTTTGCGTTTTGCCGTAAGTATCATAATAATAAAAATAATTGACACGTAGAGTTGTGCCTTTAAAAACAGAGGTTGAATTGATGGAAAATAACAAATTTTTCGTAAAACAAGGGAGAGTTTTATCGATCTACAAGAGACGTGCAAGTAACTGGATAACTGTGTGATTATATTGTTATGATGGGTGTAAAAATAATGGTTAATTAATAAAGCAGTAATAGCGTCTCTACCAGAGTGACCAGAGTCCCATTTTGTGTGCACTTCAGCTCAAAATAAAAATGTGTTTAACCAGCTCTTTTTCAAGTTTGTTGATGTTGTGTAACTACTTTGATACTGTGATAGTATCGGTAAAACCGATATAAAAAAAAACTGCAACAATCAGTGCGTGATTCGACTTTTTTATTTCGTTTTGTTTTTTTATAACCAAGGCTCGCAAGGGGGTGTATTTTATTTCGCAAGAGCATAAAATCAAGAGTTTTCACTCGTGCCATACAATCGTGCGTCATAGTTGTTGGTTGAAAAAAAAAAAAAATAATAAATAAAAACAAGGATGGCAACGGATACGAGCAGGCCCGTGCCAACCTCGCCGTCGGAGAAGTCGTTGACGGGTAGTTTGCTCTCGGAGAGCGACAACTCCAACGGTCACTCGAGCAGTAGTTACTCCATCAGAGAGGACAGGTGGCCCGATCTTGTCGTCTCAAGGCCGAGGAAGCTGGACCCTTGGTGGACGCCCAGACGTGAGTACCAATCATCATGTATACTCTCAATTAGATTACTAGTCGTCGCATATTCTTTTCATATCCGTATCCACCTTTTTTTTTTTTTTTTTTTTTTTTTTTGTTATCATATACGGATCTACCTGTTACGATTTCTCTCGGTTATTGTTACGTTATTTTTGTTTTCCAAAACAATAACAGCTGGCTTTCTCTTTGTGTTGTATGTAAGTGTGTAAGTATCATGTACATGCACAAGAGAAAAAAAAATCAGTCAAACTGCGACTAATCGACTCTGGTCCGTAGCGCGCGAAAATTCAAACGTGTGATGGTCTGAGAGATCGATGCTAATTTTTACGTAGCTATAAATCAATGTTTTACTCATTTGTTTAAGATTTCTTGGACAATGATAAGTTTTTTCCAATGATTTACGAGTGTAGTTGCGTTCATATGCTCTTATGTTTATGCATAAGTACTTTGAATAAAACGCATAACGGATCACACTAAAAATGTTGTTTCGGTTGTGCAATGCAGCAAGGTTATTCCACTTCGAGGTTCAAAAGGTTGAAAAACAGTTTTTACCTTAATTTTTACGGTGCAGGAGCCCAAACAAAAATAAAAAAAAGCTTTGTGGATAACTTTATTTTAAAAAACCAACAGTGGAACCGATCATTGGATACTTGCTCTCTGTGTCCCTATAAAACACATAAAAATCAGTGTCCAAAGTTCTAGTGCTTTACTTTGTGTGGATTCGTCTTCGTCTGAAAATTAATCAGTTGTATACCGTCCAGATTTTTAAGAGCAACAAGTCCGTCATTGTACGCAGAGCCGTGCGTATAATGTATGATCACATTGGGCTGTAGATAATGTTAGATTCGAGAAAATTCAGATGATTTGAAGAAAATCACGTTGGGCTTGGACAAATGCCATCAAAAGTGCGGCTGATGGAAAAAAATGAGTGTTGGACAATTTAAATCGGCCTAGTTCGGAATAAATGAAAACCCACCAAGTGTGTGACCATTTATACAATATGGACACATACAATTGCAGGAATTGTATTGATCGAAGTCACTTTTTTAAGATAGGCTTGAATTGTGGTTTTCCTTGATTAAATATATTAATCAACAGCATATAATTTCCCTTGAAAATCTTTTGGGTATGTTTGAAAATTGTCGAAGACTCGGATCCCTGTTGTTGCCTCACAAATGCGTCGAACTTGTAAATTTAATAATTTGTACACATCACATGCCTACCCGTGTATCCAATGATTTTAAATACATATTGCCTGAAAAAATAAAAAGAAAGAAGAAAAAATATCATCTACTATACTCAACAATACACCACAATAAACTACAATCATCCTCTGATGGAGCGAAAAAAGAAGAAAAAAAAAAAAAAAAAAGGAAAAAAAAGAATGCTCACTTGATGCATTATTAATGGCACTTGCGTGAAAAAGGCAATATTGTGTCCACTGCAAAAAATATCATTGCGGATGTCCATTGCACGGGTACACCAGTATCAATGCGTTGGCCATAGTGGTGCTTATGTAACCTAACCACCCTCGGATACGCATGCCAACCCCCGCGCTCCGCTTTCGTGCGGTATTGATTAATGTAGGTGGAGGCAGGGTCGGCGGACAAATCGATTGCACGAGAGAGCCGACAATACAACTTTTATTATACCCACACGCAAGTGTTGTTACGTGCAGTGCTGTTCGTGCTCCTCCTCTCTGTGTTAACTCTCTGTTTTAACATTTGTTGTCCATCTGCAAAATGTTATTTTTTTGTTTTTTGTTTGCTGCCGTTGCGTCAGAATCTCGTTAAAACAACGGGTGTCGCGTCAATAGCAGCGTGATTCTCTCGACGCATTGATAATCACTCATTGTCGTCGGGTTGTCATTGTTTCGTGGTTACTTGGAGATTACTTGTAAAAGCCTCGTTGTATAGGCGACATAGGCGCACAATAAACTTCGAGAAAGCTTGGCTATCTCGAACTTTCGGTGCTTTATTCACCGGCACCTGTTTATACGCCTATACGTAGAGATCTCGCAAGAGGATGACCACTGCAGTCCGATGAAGCGAGCAATTTCATCCTCGCGTTGGAAGTACCACTGGGTGTACCAATAAACGGGAATCTTACGAGTCGAAGGGTGTTGGGAGCTTTTTGAAGTAGCGCGTAGGATCAATCGAACAGAGGCAAAGATGTTGGACCAGGAGATGACCACAGCCCAGGACACGATATACCTGTGCAATTTTCGGGTGTCGGTGGACGGCGAGTGGTTGTGCCTCAAGGAACTCCAGGACGTCGACTTTGCGATGACTGACTCGTTGCAGCGCTCGCCCTCGCCACCCTTAGCTCTCAGTGGTACTACTAACACTAAACTTCATCGGGAGTGCGATGATAATCATGGTGGCGCAAGTCAGCTGCAGCTGCTACGGCGTCACCTGAAACAGTCTCGCGTTGTTCTTCTTGACAATCACGATGATTATGACTATGCTGCTGCTGCTAATACAGCTGTTGTTGTCCCGTCAGAGCTTTGCGATATACTTGCCTCATCACCCTGCACACAGCACGTCTCTTGTTTGTGTTTGTATACGCATATTTGAACATTATATATATATACATATACATACACATGTATAATCATGTGCACGCAGAGAACCAAAATTTATTGTCTATGGCCTTTGTAATGCACGTCCACATTTCCCTTTAATTATTTCATCACCTTTGGTACTCACGTATACAATTTGTACAGTCCTACACGCGCCCACATTCAACACGTACGTATATCTCTCATCACTTTGGCGACATCACACAAGAGTACAGGACGAGTACTTCTGTAAACCTTTGTTTTCTCCCCATCACTTTTGCATGTCATTTTCTCGTACATATTTCAATCACAACTTGCCTCATATTTCCGAACGAATGTCCTACATCACGTGTTGTACCTACTGTGCATGTGCGATAAATGGCTATAAAAAAAAAAAAAATCTGAAAAATATACGTAGGGTGGGGGACCAAAAAAAAAAAAAAGAAAAAAAAAAGATACATGAGAGAAGCAGCATGATTATTTTCATTGTAGCTCGCGATCCGGTAATCATAGAGCGGAGCAACCTGGTTAACATATCGAAGCTCATCGTGAAGGAGCTGATAGAGACGTCGCTCAAGTACGGCCGTATGCTCGATTCCGACCACATGCCCCTTCAGCACTTTTTTATCGTCCTCGAGCACGTCCTCAGACACGGACTGAGGCCCAAAAAGGTAAATCCCCTCAGTGCGCCTATATAATAACCCAAGTAGGTATAGATACATGTACACACATGCGTATATATTTTTGCAGGGCTTGCTCGGTCCGAAAAAGGAACTCTGGGACATTCTCCAACTGGTCGAAAAGTACTGCCCCGAGGCGCAAGACATCACCTCGAGTATCCGCGATTTGCCCACAGTTAGGTACATATGTACATGATGAATATTCTTTTGTTTGTTATAACGTACGGGAGAAAAAAAAGAAAAAAAATTGCCACGACAATATGATTGAGAGACGATAAATCTGTAGGACCGCGATGGGTAGGGCCCGCGCCTGGCTGCGAATGGCACTGATGCAGAAAAAACTCGCGGATTACCTGAAGGTACTGATCGACCACAAGGACGACGTGCTCTCCGAGTACTTTGAGCCCGATGCTCTCATGATGAGCGACGAGTCGATTGTTTTGGTGGGCCTCTTGGTCGGCCTCAACGTCATTGACTGCAACTTTTGCGTGAAGGTCCGTGGTTTTTTTTTTTTTTTTCATGTTCAATCTCTCCCTCCCCTAAACTTGCCAATGGGTGTACCTATGTGCTCAAAGAGATCCATATTTGGAATGTAATGTCATTATTATAATTATCATGTGGTGTTAGGAGGAAGATCTCGACTGTCAGCAAGGGGTGATAGATTTTTCGTTGTATTTGAGGAACGCCAACCACGTAGCCGGTGAATCGCCGGACGAGGAGCTCGAGACCGACAACATGACGACCGTACTAGATCAGAAGAATTACATCGAGGAGCTCAACAGGCATCTCAAGTGAATTTCTTACAATTTTTATACCCAAGCGTCCACGCACATGTTTATATTTGAGTTTGAGTGGATAATGTTATTTTCAATGTTGTACCGACACTTGTAGCGCGACAGTGCAAAACCTTCAGGCAAAAGTCGAGTCCCTCACGACGACGAACGCGTTGATGAAGGAGGATCTGTCGATAGCGAAAAATAACATAGTCACCCTGCACTACGAGAACACGCAGTTGAAGAAGGAACTGGGCATTGAGGTCAAAGATACGAACGAGGTATGAGTACACCCCCAATACCGTATAAAAAAATTGTGTAAGTGCACTACAACGATCAAAGATTATTCGTTCACGCAGCACGGCAAAATTCCGATGAAGATAACCGAAACGACCTCGGAAATCGAGGAGCTTAGGTGTAGGATGGAGATGGAAAAAAAACTGAGGCACGAGGCCGAAAAGGAATTGGAATTGCAGGTTATTATTATTATTATTATTATTATTGTTGTTGTTATTATTTTTCTTGTCAACAAAATCGAAATAATAAAATTGCGTCACCATGATAATTGTACACGCGCATAATGTCAAATTGGTATCGATCTAATACTAATGATACATGTATATACATATACGTGTACGGAAATCGCAGACCAGTATGAAAGCCGAAATCGAGGTGGCCATGAAGTTACTCGAAAAAGACATACACGAGAAGCAGGACACCATAATATCCTTGAGACGGCAACTCGACGACATCAAACAAATTAACCTCGAAATGTACAAAAAATTACAGGTGATTGTATATACATGTTTTATAAAATTATTGTACCATTAACCCTCATCATCATCACTTAACACTGACAATCCTTACCTACCATACATTCGATTTTATGTACGCGCGCACACACCCACACACACACACACAAATGTACACGGTTTTAATCAAAGTAACCAAGGACTCTGACAACATAATATTATATCGCATATACCTGCACGCAATAATCCTATGATATTTAACGAGTGTACTCCTCACCACGCCCCTGTTATCCTTCCCGTTACGTTTTTCACTCGAATTGTAGGAGTGCGAGCAAGAATTGACGCAAAAGGGCGAAATGGTGAGCCGGCTGCACGCCAAAACAAACCAGATAGGCAAGCTGCTGAACAACCTCGAGAAGTTCAATTACCTGATGAAGGACGGCGAGAGCCGGGGTGGCGGTCCAGGGAGCATCTCGGGCTCGTCGAGCGTCAGGTCGTTCAATCGGTCGAGTCCGACGACGCCCAAGGATTCCCAAGCACCCGCGCGCCCCAAGTCCTTTTGCGACTCGTCCGAGCTCAAAATACTCGCCGCCGAGACCCGGGAGTACGAGGAGCAGGCCTCCAAGTGAACCTCCCGATGAGCCCCTTGTTTTTTTCTTTTTTTTCCATTGTTATTCAACACACCGTCGATGGCCCGGTTGCGTTGCAATAATTACATTTTTTGTTTTTTACGATTTTTTGTACAATTTTTACCATCCTAATCGTCCATTGTCTGTGTTATTATCATTATCATTATTATTTATTGTTGTTATTATATAATTTCCAACAAAACTTTATCGTTATATAATAGTACATTTTTGCAATAAGGCGTATGTAACTATACCAACTGTACTAAACATATTTATTTATTTATTTATTTATTTTTTTTTTTTATAAAATTTTTGTATACTAATATGTTTGCGACGTACAGATATTTTCAATTTTTTTCATTCAATGTATATGTATTGAATGAAAAAAATTATAATCACGTAATGCTGATCAAGCTATAGTAAGCTATCAAAAATCGTATAGATTATAATAATGGAAAGAAGAAAAATCCAATTTTACATGTTTCTTTTAAGAAATGAAAAATATACATACACGATCAAAGATGGTGAAGATAAGCTTCATGATGTCACTATAATATAAACCGCACAATGTACTTAATAATGATAAAAAAAAAAAAAAATAAAATAAAAAAAAAAAATTTATCAAAGCTGGTGTATAATGTATCTGTCATGTATTCCAGGAATGCGAGAGCTCGATTAGACACAAAACGGAACTGATAACTAAGCTGGAAGCAAAAAGCTTCTCGATGACTGACACCATCCAAAACATGGATGAAAAGTACGTTTTGTTTATATCTTACGTTAAACACGCAAGTGTAATTTTCGAGAGTAGAACGTGATACTTCGATACTCTATTTTTTTTCTTTTTTTTTTTTTTTCTTTAGTATAAGTAAAATAGATTTTAACGAAAATACGACCGACAGCGTTTGATCGATGAGCCTATAAATTCTGACAAGTCGCAATAGAACAATGTGTATGTACACATATACATATGTACCGAGTTATCATTTTTCCAACAGTGTTTCAGTACGTGTATGTATGTATTCGTTTTGTGAATAGTTAACCCGCAGATGATGTAACGCGATGATTTACCAAAGGGGTGAATATAAATTGTAAGGGACGATAGAGCACTTGAAATACATTATACCCGACACTTGAGTGTCGGATATTGAATAGTCTGTCGCTATTAAGCGATACGTGTTGACACGCGCGTTAGATAATGTGGCCCTTTTTTTTTTGTTTTGTGACAGGCGAAGAAAAACTATCGATTTTCCTACTTAAATACATATACACTTGTTGTACCAGTGACTTGCAATACAAGTACCATGTGGTATATCCATCATCTCATTGTACTTACACATATATATTATATATCGACGCGACGATTGCTTATGTAAGGCTGAAATTAATAAAAGTGACAAACAAAGACTAATCATCCTTTGTCTTTTGCCATAACATTTTCCTATCGAATTCCACTATATGCATGCGTTTATTTGTTTTTCGTTGAGCCAAATTTTAATTTTTTAAAGCAATTAAAAAAAAAAAAGAAAAAAGATTTATTTATTTATTTATTTTTTATTTATTTGACCTGTTGTTTGTTACGTGACAATATGCCCCACCGTGACAAGCAGTAAGTTATTGTGTGATCTAAAGCATATTTACCAATACACACTTCCTCCTGAATGTCTATAGAGTTTTGCTTTTGGAGTACCTATATCACTTTGATACATGGCACGGGTCTTGTTAATTATAGTCTGTTATAAATCATTAAAAGATTTACTCATAAAATGTGAAACAGTTCTTTCATCCATGTAAAAATCATAAACAATACTCTTGTTTTTTTTTTTTTT